GAGAGGAAGGGAGAGAGATAGAGAGTTAGAAACATCGATGAGAGAGAAACATCGATCAGCTGCCTCCTGCACATCTCCTACTGGGGATGTGCCCGCAACCCAGGTACATGCCCTTGACCGGAATCGAACCTGGGACCCATCAGTCCGCAGGCCGACGCTCTATCCACTGAGCCAAACCGGTTTTGGCATATGTTTTTTTCTTAATGTTCATTTTAAATCAATTCTACTTGAATCAAACTTTAAAAAAGATCTAAACTTGATGCTTCACAATAATTTTAATGTTTTATTATGAAAGTTCTTTTATTTTAAATGCAAATTCCATCTTTTTAAATATATTTTATTGATTTTTTACAGAGAGGAAGGGAGAGGGACAGAGAGTCAGAAACATCGATGAGAAAGAAACATCGATCAGTTGCTTCTTGCACACCCCCCACGAGGGATGTGCCCGCAACCAAGGCACATGCCCCTGACCCGGAATAGAACCTGGGACCCCTCAGTCGGCAGGCCGACACTCTATCTACTGAGCCAAATCGGTCAGGGCTTATGAAAGTTCTTGAGCATATTTGGTACTGTTGTATCAGCATGTTGGCAATAAAATATAATGATGTGCTACTGAAATATCTTATCATGTCCATGTTCAGTGACATCATTTTGGCAGTTTGAACTTCAAAACAATGAGAGTATTTATATCAGGGATATTAACAAAGATTACAAATGTAGACTTCACTTAATGCAGTGGTTCTCAACCTTCTGGCCCTTTAAATACAGTTCCTCATGTTGTGATTCAACCATAAAATTATTTTCGTTGCTACTTCATAACTGTAATGTTGCTGCTGTTATGAATCATAATGTAAATATCTGATATGCAGGATGGTCTTAGGCAACCCCTGTGAAAGGGTCGTTCGACTGCCAAAGGGGTCGCAACCCACAGGTTGAGAACTGCTGACTTAATGCATTATTGAATGCTTAGACTTATTAAGTTTGGTGGAGAATGTTACCAATGCAAATTACATCTATAAGTGTATGGTACAAGTGCATTTAAATTCTACATAGGTTAAAAATTGAGAAAAAAAATTTCCGTTCCAATATTTAAACCTCTGGTTCCATATAGCAAAGAAGTAATTGTAGTCACTGAGAAATGAGTGAACTTCAAACATTTCTTAAATTGTGCACTGTCCTCCTATTGGTTAAATTAATTCATTTTACTTTTTAAAATTCTTTATTGTTGAAAGCATTGTATATGTCGTGTCCCCCCCCCCCCATTGGCCTCTTCAGTCCAGGCCTTCACCCCCCTCTTGTCTGTGTTCAATGATTATGCTTATATGCATACAAGTTCTTAAGCTAGTCTCTTTCTCCCCCGCCCACCCTCTCCTACCTTCACTCTGAGATATGAAGGTCTCTTTGATGACTCTGTTTCCTGATCTACTTCTGTTCATGAATTTATGTTGTTTATTACATTCCACAAATGAGTAAGATCATGTGATACTTATCATTCTCTGACTGCCTTATTTTGCTCAACATAATCCTCTCCAGGTATAAATTCATTTTAAAACAAATGTGATAAATACAGTGTAAATAAATGTATGAAAAAATGCTCACCATCAAAAATTCTTAAGTACATAGAATTAAAAAGGAAGTGAGTTAATACTATACTCATTTATCATGTTAGTATTTAAAAAGATCGCCGAAACCGGTTTGGCTCAGTGGATAGAGCGTCGGCCTGCGGACTGAAAGGTCCCAGGTTCGATTCCGGTCAAGGGCATGTAGGAGATGTGCAGGAGGCAGCTGATTGATGTTTCTCTCTCATCGATGTTTCTAACTCTCTGTCTCTCTCCCTTACTCTCTGTAAAAAATCAATAAAATATATTTTTAAAAAAATAAGAAATAAATAAAAAGATTAACCATTGCATGTGCTGTTAGGGTTGCAGAAAAACTGGAATATTCATTACTGTGGGTGGGGTGGGAGGGCAAAGGGAATAACCATTTTAGATCACAGTTCCACATATCTTAAAATGTAAAACATTCACCCACACAATAACATTTTGATCAGTAAAACATATATCTCTATAGAGAAGTGAACGCAAATATTCCCAGCATATTTATTTATAATACCCCAACCCTGTAAATGACCAGAATCTTAGATCAATAGATAAAGTGGTAATTCACAGATCACAATACTACTCGGCAGTAAAAAACTATTCACATAAGCGTTTATGTGGAATCTGAAAATAACTGTGCAGCATGAAGGAAACCAATATTTGTTAGAGTACAGACATTATAGTGCCTATATAATTAAAAAATTATGAATAATGTGTTGTAATGGAAGGAAAATCAATGCCTGCAAGAGGACTGGGGAAGGCAGAGGGAGAGATTATAAAAGGGCAGGAGGTAAATATAGGGTGTGCCAAAACAAAGTTTCGACTTGTTGGTATGGAAATCAGTACAATATTTAACAAATAAAAATAATTTACTCTGCCCTGGCCAGTGTTGCTCAATCGGTTGGGCATCATCCCCTCCACTTAAAGATCACCAGATCTGGTAGGGAAACATGTCCTCCTTAAACAACAGTAGGAGGCATGCTGATTAATGTATGTCTCTCATATAGATGTTTCTCTCTCAATTACCCTCCCTTCCATTTCCCTAAAAGAATAAAAGTAATGTATAAGATATTTTTTAAAAAGAATAAACTGTGTTTTGGGTGCTCACAACTGTAAACCTATTTTTGCTCCACCATATATATTGAAACACATGTTTGTTTCATATATGACACTTTCATAACTTTAAATGTACATCAAAGCTCACCAAATAGTACACATTAGAAAAGTGCAGTTTGTTGTATGTCAGTTCTTCTTTTTAAAAAAATATTGTTATTGATCTGAGAGGAAGGGAGAGGGAGAGACAGAAAAATCAGTTATGAGAGAAAATCATTGATTGGCTGCCTCCTGCACACCCCACACTGGGGACAGAATCTGCAACCTGGACATGTGCCTGAATGAGAATCGAACCTTGATCTCTTGATTCATAGGTCAACCACTAAGCCACACTGGCCCGGCAGCATGTCAGTTCTTATATCCTGGGAGGAACAGCCTTGCCTCAGTGGCAGGTAATGTTAGTAAGCAATTCACACTATTGCCATCAGAATAAACAGAAATGTTGACCGGTTATAAAACACATCCAGGGATTGATTACAGGATTATCCTTCCTCTACCTTTGAGGTATTGCCTGTTCAGCATCATCCTTGAAGTGAACACCCTAGAGGGGTCAGCAGAATCAACAAAACCATAAGATTATTTTATCTGCCAATGATTTCAGTCACAGGAAACAGTTATGGAGCTCCTGAGAATGTCTGTACACAAACATCATGCAAGGCCCTGGAACATTTGTGGAACACATTCAGAAGAGGCATTTTTCAAATTTACTGCAGTCTCTCCCACTCACTATGGAAACAGTGCTCTGTTCTAATTGAGGTTGTACCTAATCCTCAATGACACCAGCCTATGAAATTTAGTACATCACAGCATATGGGTTATTAGCTGAGACTTTTGTCATACACACTGTGAACAGAGAGTATAATTCATTGAAGCACAACAAAGACTTCCTCCTCAGGGTGACCTTTGACCTCACCAATAATAGAGGTACCAAGCTGCAAATTAGAACCATGAAGTCCTACAGTCTTGCTTTCAAGACTTTGGGCAGAAATGCAAAATAAGCAAATATTGGACAAAGAGTGATTTTCTACCATCATGTTGTCCCTTCAGAAGCACTGAAAGTTTGGGATCCCCACAATATCTGTTCACCTTTACCTGCTGACAGATCACAATTGTGCTTTCAATTCATCCCAGGCAGAGAATAGAACCAACAAATTAAAGGTACAAATTGCAAAAAAAAAAACACCTTTACAAAAAGATCATAAACCATTGCCATACACAGCAAGTGGTTTGCATGTTGGTGAATAACTACCTGAAAAAATTCATCACAGCACAATGTGAGAAGCACAATGTACCTGAAAGGCATAGCACATCTTAGGACTGTGGTCTGGCCGAAACAATGGTCCATTCGTTAGTCAGAGAAATAGGAGTGAAGATCCTAAAAGCTCGGAGTACTCATCATTTCCTCAAACAGAAGAACACAGATTTCATTTTTCTGAGCATGCAAGACTTCCCACAATCATTACACACATATAGCTTTTCTCCAGTCTAAACTCTCTGATGTTGAATGAGGATTGAGAACTGCATAAATGACTTACCCCCAGAGGCACACAGTTCAGGTGAACCAGGTGGCAGAGGTGAATTCACTGCAGCCACATATACTCACTGTGACATCAATCAGGTAGTAGGCCTGTGCATGACAGCAAGTGCAATGTAACACTTTAAAGGCTCACTTATACCTGAAACTTATGAGGAATCTAGCACAGTGTATGTTCTGATAAAAAGGGTTTAAAATCAGCAAAATAGGTCTGTAGGAGTCTCCTTCAGTGTTGTAATTTTGAGTGGGAAAAAAAATTCCCTGCATATTTAAAGCTTTTCTGTAATGTGAAGTATTAAGTGTTTAACTAGCTATGTTTCCGACTAAAACATTTCTCATAGTTACTACACTCATAAGGTTTTACACCACTGTGAACTCTCTCGTGTCGACTGAGGTTACTGCTTTTACTGAAGGACTTCCCACAATCAGAACACTCATAGGGCTTTCCTCCTGGGTCAGTGGTCGGCAAACTCATTAGTCAACAGAGCCAAATATCAACAGTACAATGATTGAAATTTCTTTTGAGAGCCAATTTTTTAAAACTTAAACAATATAGGCAGGTACATTGTTATTAATTTAATTAGGGTACTCCTAAGGCTTAGGAAGAGCAACATTCAAGGGGCCAAAGAGCCGCATGTGGCTCGTGAGCCTCAGTTTGCTGACCACGGTCCTGGGTTAACTCTCTGATGTTGAACTAGGGTAGAGATTTGCATAAATCATTTCCCGTAATCACTACACTAATATGGCTTTTCTCCACTGTGAACTCTGTGATGTTGAATGAGGGTATACTTGTGCATAAATGACTTCCCACAGTCACTACACTCATATGGCTTTTCTCCAGTGTGAACTCTCTTGTGGATAAGGAGGTGATTATTGCAGGTAAAAGATTTACCACATTCACTACACATAAGGTTTTGCACCAGTGTGAACTCTCCAGTGTTGAGTGAAGTTACTGCGTTGCCTAAAGGACTTCCCACAGTCACTACACACATATGGCTTTTCTCCAGTATGGACTCTGTTGTGTTCATTGAGGGTAGACCTTTTGCGGAAGGACTTCCCACAATCACTACAATTATAAGGCTTTTCTCCACTGTGAACTCTGTGGTGTTGAACGAGGGTATAACTGTGTGTAAATGACTTCCCACAGTCACTACACTCATATGGCTTTTCTCCACTATGAACTCTCTGGTGTTGAATGAGGGTATAACTGTGTGTAAATGACTTCCCACAGTCACTACACTCATATGGCTTTTCTCCACTGTGAACTCTCTGGTGTTGAGTGAGGGTAGAACTGTGTGAAAATGACTTCCCACAGTCACTACACTCATACGGCTTTTCTCCACTGTGAACTCTGTGGTGTTGAGTGAGGGCAGACCTGTGTGTAAATGACTTCCCACAGTAACTACACTCATATGGCTTTTCTCCAGTGTGAACTCTCTTGTGGATAAGAAGGTGATTATTGCGGGTAAAAGATTTACCACATTCACTACACTCATAAGGTTTTTCTCCAATGTGAACTTTCTGGTGTTGAGTGATGGTACTGCTTTGCCTGAAGGACTTCCTGCAATCATGACACTCATACAGCTTTTCTCCAGTGTGGACTTTGTGTTCTTGAATGAGTTCGGACCTCAGGATGACAGACTTCCCATGATCACTACACTCATATGGCTTTTCTACAGGGAGGTTAAAGATTTCTTTAAAAGCTTTCCCACATTTGTTACACTCATAATTCACTTTTCTAGAGCAGACACCCTGATGTTGAACAACTTTCTGGTTGTGGCTGGCAGCTTTTTCACATGCACCCAACTCGTCATGACCTCTTCCACTGAGAAATTCCTGTGGAATCTCACGACCACTGTGTGGCTCCCCAGTGTTAAAAGTATCCTGGTGCTGGAGAATGTCTGAGATGGCTGGCAAGTCTTTCCCAATCTCTCTAGTGGTTGAAGGCACCCATATTAAGTAAAAGCTGCACTGGGACACAAGTGAGGCCCTGTCCATATCTTCTTTCCAGGGCTTCTGTCCACTGGCATCTCTCTGTTGCTGGTGAGGGTTTGCACTGAAACAGTTGTCGCTCAAACATGTGTCAGTGCAGAAGGCTTTCTTATTAAAGTATGCTGCTTGTAACTCAGTCAGGTGAAAAATATCTTTTAAAACTGAGAAACACCATTTACAAAGATGGGTCTTCTGGGTTGCTGGAGCTGTCTTAAAAGCCCCGACCTGTGACTCTCCTTGTACATATACACTCTGCTCAGAATTGGCCTCCTCATCATCTCTTTTATGCCAACAACCTGAAAATAGTAAAATGGTGAGGAAATGAATTATGTGGTGACAGATGGAAGTCTTTTTAGAAAACTGTATTGCACATAACATGTCGGTTCCATGCAGTTGTCTGACAATAAAAAATCTGTAGGAAGGATTTATGCTGCCATGAAGGTCTGGCCTACTGAAGATCACAAAACAAGAAAGACCTCAAATGAAATATGATACACAGGGCAAGCACCACATGGAAGAGAAGCAGGATCATCAGCTCATTCTTCTGCTAACAGTGTTCAGCATGGCTTGTCTGCTGGTGACAGGGGAAAGCTGTGCTGAAATATGGTTACATTTTATTCCAAGTATAATTCAATAAATGAATAGCTAGTGCTTGAGGTCTACTTGAGCAAGTATGTGCATCTCATAGCAGATGTACATGTCAATGTTGGAGAATGCTGCAGATGGAGCAATGCAGATGAAGAGTGAGGCAAAAAGGCTACACAATTGAAGGTATACAAAACCCAGGAAGTCACAGGTAAAATGACAAGTCAGCACAGTATCAAGTATGGGAAAGAAAAGGTAGAAATGTGGTATTTCCCATGATACTTGCACCTAAACACTGTTGGAAATGAGCAGGGGCTTGGTATCATCTAAACACCACCCTTATATCATATCTAGCCCACAGTTGCAACTCAACAGGGCCAGGCCTCTTCTGAGACCATCCTGCATGTTCACCCTGTGAAAAAACCAGGGTTCTCCCTGCATATTTTTCTCTACAAATATGTACAACCTAAAAATTCCAAGTATTAATGAAAGACTACAGAGATGGGAATCCAGCACTGGCCTAGAGCAATTTAGCTTACAATAGTATTTATAGAAGGTAATAGTACAAACAACAATTTAAGTGGGAAATTGTAAGAACAGCTCAAGGTTCATGTAAGTAAAGACCATAACTTGGCACAGTCACCAAGGACGTTTGGCTAGAGGAAGGAGGTAGAAATGGAAGCCATGGATCTGGACATAGTCCCCCTTCCAGGGAGAGGAACAGCAGGTAGGACCCATGAAGTTGTCTCTAAGACTCCTGACTCCCAGACACATCCTGACCTTTCTGAGGCAACTAGTGTTAGGGATGTTTGTGGAGTCTATCACTCAGGGCTCATGACCAGATCTCACCCATGGAAGCCACAGCACATTTGACATGACAGTGGAGGAAATTAGCAGAGCCCATGGTCTGCTGTAGGAGAGAAAAAGCTACATCTGAGGAATAAAGGGAGAGAGGACATCATCTCAGGACATGGGGAGAATGTGAAGAACTTACCTACAGATGATATAAGTGCAAAAACTTCCAGCATCACATCGCAGTACAGAAGTCTCTGAGGCTCATCAAGGAGCCCCCACTCCTCCTGAGAGAAGGCAATGGCCACGTCCTCAAAGTTCACATCCTGTCATAATGGAGACAGTTCAGCCCATGATCAGATTCACTCTAACATTCCAAGTCTGTCATACTCCCCACCCTCCATACCCATCAGCTCTCTGCACTCCATACAGCATAGAATATACCAGGCCTTCATCCCATGAAAGCCACTGTCATCTAATATTTCTACTGATATTTTGTCTTCCCACAACAATAAAGGCAGTTGAGCAGATAGAAGATACCTGAGCTTTGGACCTCCCATGTATGCCACACTGCCTCTTGTTAATAGAATAGGTGTCAAAAATATAGGATAGAAAGAGATGTTGGCCGTAAAGAGAATGTGAGTGATTTGATCCTGGTCTTGTCAGGCAATACTCTTGTAGTCCCTCAGATTGTTCCTCAAAGACACCAAATACATGGCATCACACTTCACCCTCTTGACTCTAATCCCACGGTGCTGAGGCCATCACTTTGTACCATTTGCTGCACATAGTTCTTTGAACACTTCTCTCACACAGCTTCATTCCCAGAGGCTCAACTTCAAAAGTAATACAAATTTGCCCTAGTGAGGACAGTTTGTTTCCTAATTACCTTATTTTACAATATTATAGATTACCACCTCTATAATGCATTTCTCTCTTACCCTTCTCCTTACCCATACCAGTGGAGAGTTCCAAGCCTGGGTAACACTGATGTATTCCTAACAATTAGTGTGTGAGCCCCCAACAACAAAAGGCAGGTGGTTTGATAAATGTCATCTAAGCTCTGTACCTGGCTGGTAGCACCAAAACACCCCTCTTTTCAGGCAATAACCCTAAAATTCCCCTTATTTTATCATTGAGACACCTCCAGATGTAGACTTGCCCTTCATTCACTCTTATGTCAATGTCAGGGTGCTCTGGCCATGAATTCACACTCTCTCTCCAAGTGCACATCACTCTCTCTACCATACCTCTCACACCTGCACTCCTACAGTTCTGGCCCCCGTAGTCATCACATCCTTGCCCTGTTACTTATTACTCAGCATATATGGTCTAGAGCAGCGGTTCTCAACCTGTGGGTCGCGACCCCTTTGGCGGTCGAACGACCCTTTCACAGGGATCACCTAAGACCATCCTGCATATCAGATATTTACATTACGATTCATAACAGTAGCAACATTACAGTTATGAAGTAGCAACGAAAATAATTTTATGGTTGGGTCACAACATGAGGAACTGTATTTAAAGGACCAGAAGGTTGAGAACCACTGCTCTAGAGAATGCTTGCCAAATTCTATCAGGATGAAGTACTGTCCAGACTCTGATAGTCCACACTCATAGAGGCAGCCTTGAGTTCTTCTATGAGGGCTTCTCTCCATGGATGTTTTTTCCTTCAATCTAACCTATGAAGAACCACAATCAGATCTCAGATACGCAGTGCCCACCTCCCCTGATGCTGCATTTGATGTCCATTCCAAGTCACAGCCAACATCTCTCCACTTAACCATTACTCAAGTCCCAGCCGCGCTGGCCCTCTCTAGCATGCTTAGTGAGTCTCACAGATGACCACTCAAGCCTCTAAGTCAGTGGTTCTCAACCTTCCTAATGCTGCAACCCTTTAAGACAGTTCCTCATGTTGTGGTGACCCCCAAGCATAAAATTATTTTTGTTGCTACTTAATAACTGTAATTTTGCTACTGTTATGAATCGTAATGTAAATATCTGATATACAGGATGTATTTTCATTGTTACAAATGAAACATAATTAAAGCATAGTTGGAGAAACCAAGATGGCGGCATAGGTTAACGCCGGAATTTGCTGCCTCGAACAACCACTTCAAAAATACAACTAAAAGACGGAACGGACATCATCCAGAACCACAGGAAGGCTGGCTGAATGGAAGTTCTACAACTAGGAGGAACCGAGAATCAGAGGAGGCACAGTGCTGAAGTAAAATACTAAGGTGCGGAGTATGCGCGGCGCCGGCTGGTGGCTGAGGGCGCGGTTGTCTGTTTCAATCCGGAGGGAGCCTCAGACTCTGAGCTCCAGATCCGAGCGAGTCTCTAGGGACCCAGACTCAAACGGGAGAAGCAGGACTGTCTGGCTACGGTCCCTCCGAGGTTTGCAGCGGTTGCTGGGACAGAGAGGCAGAGTCCCTGGGGACGGACTGAGAGCAGCCATAACTGCTCCCTCCTCCGCCCTGTTGATCCCGTGGGACCTGCCCCGCCCAAGCCCTCCACAGAGGCATTTGCCGGATAGCCTCAGGCAAAGGCTAGATTAGCACCTCCCTAGAGGTCACAAGTTCTTCCACTGCAGACACAGCTGATTATCACAGCCAGTCGGCCTGGAGGTCAAATCCCTCTAGTATTAACTACAACAATCGAGGCTTAACTACAACAAGACTGTGCACAAAGACCACTAGGGGGTGTACCAAGAAAGCATAAAAAATGCGGAGACAAAGAAACAGGACAAAACTATCAAGGGAGGATATTGAGTTCAGAACCACACTTTTGAGGTCTCTCAAGAGGCTTCTAGAGTCTGTCGATAAACTTGATGAGATGTACAGGAAATCTAATGAGACCCTCGATGGTGTGATAAAGGACCATCTAGAAAGTAAGCATACACTGACTGAAATAAAGAATATTATACAGACTCCCAACAGCAGGCCAGAGGAGCGCAAGAATCAAGTCAAAGATTTGAAATGCGAAGAAGCGAGAAACACCCAACCGGAAAAGCAAAATGAAAAAAGAACCCAAAAATACGAAGATAGTGTAAGGAGCCTCTGGGACAGCTTCAAACGTACCAACATCAGAATTATAGGGGTACCAGAAGATGAGAGAGAGCAAGACATTGAAAACCTATTTGAAGAAATAATGACAGAAAACTTCCCCCACCTGGTGAAAGAAATAGACTTACAGGTCCAGGAAGCGCAGAGAACCCCAAACAAAAGGAATCCAAAGAGGACCACACCAAGACACATCATAATTAAAATGCCAAGAGCAAAAGACAAAGAGAGAATCTTAAAAGCAGCAAGAGAAAGAAACTCAGTTACCTACAAGGGAATACCCATATGACTGTCAGCTGATTTCTCAACAGAAACTTTGCAGGCCAGAAGGGAGTGGCAAGAAATATTCAAAGTGATGAAAAGCAAGAACCTACAACCAAGATTACTTTATCCAGCAAAGCTATCCTTCAGAATTGAAGGTCAGATAAAGAGCTTCACAGATAAGGAAAAGCTAAAGGAGTTCATCACCACCAAACCAGTATTATATGAAATGCTGAAAGGTATCCTTTAAGAAGAGGAAGAAGAAGAAAAAGGTAAAGATACAAATTATGAACAACAAATATGCATCTATCAACAAGTGAATCTAAGAATCAAGTGAATAAATAACCTGATGTACAGAATGAACTGGTGATTATAATAGAATCAGGGACATAGAAAGGGAATGGACTGACTATTCTTGGGGGGAAAAGGGGTGTGGGGGATGCGGGAAGAGACTGGACAAAAATCGTGCACCTATGGATGAGGACAGTGGGTGGGGAGTGAGGGCGGAGGGTGGGGTGGGAGCTGGAAGGAGGGGAGTTATGGGGGAAAAAAGAGGAACAAATGTAATAATCTGAACAATAAAGATTTAATAAAAAAAATAAAAAAAGAAAAATACAAAAAGAAAACAAGTAAAATCTAATAGTTGTAGAAAAAAATAAATAAATAAAATACCAATGGCATATTTCATAGACCTAGAACAAACACTACAAAAATACATATGGAATAAAAAATAAATAAAAATTTTAAAAAGACCCTGAATAGCTGCAGCCATCCTGAGAAAGAAGAACAAAGCTTGAGGGATCTCAATTCCAAATATCAAGATACATTACAAAGCCACTGTCCTCAAAACTGGCTAGTACTGGCAAAAGAACAAACATATAGACCAATGGAACAGAACAGAGAACCCAGATATTGACCCAAGCCAGTATGCTCAGTTAATATTTGACAAAGGAGGCAAGAGCATACAATGGAGTCAAGACAGTCTCTTCAATAAATGGTGTTGGGAAAAATTGGGACAGATACATTGCAAAAAAAAATAAAAACTTAGACCATCAACTTTACACCCTTACACAAAAATAAACCTCAAAATAGATAAAGGATTTTAAATGCAAGAATGGAGGAAACCATTAAAAAC